CAAATTTTCTTTAACGGAGAGTCTCCAGACTGATCTGCGAGTTAAACCTTGAAAGCTCGCGAGATCAGGAAGCTAAGTCCTCACCACTGTAGAGGGAACTTTAGCATGTGATTTGGCTCCCAAGGAGGGACTTTAGCATGCGTTTTAGCTAGCATTTGACAATAAGAAGGATAGACCGCCCCCCCGTCCTGCCCCTATGCATGCCATTGACCATAGGTGAAAGCTACTGAGATTAAGGGGACATCTTTAGTAGACAAACATCCCGTTAGATTCAGCTATAGAGTCTTGTTCTGCTATTCCCAACCTTTTGGTAAAAACTCTCCATATTTTGACCATTTTACGTACAATCTTGGTTATTTCATCCCCCTTGATAGAATCCCTTGTATAATTTAAGAAGTGAAAGCCACATGTAGTTGGCACAATTGCATCATCAATGTGTTCCGCCATGGGTAAGGTGGGGTTTTCACTTTATGAATATTAGTACAGCAAATTACTTTTTGGATGCTGTCACGAAAAAGTTTGGTTTCACTGGTTTATAAGACATTCTGACAAAAGAAACTCAGTAACTTCCAACTGTAGGAAAAAAGGGGGAGTCAATCAATGCATGGTTCTGAAGAGGTTCAAAACTATCTCACTGGAAAAAAAATCGAAATCTCGATAAGTCATTTTTTCTTAAAATAAGTGCATTTTTTTCTTGGATTGAGGAGGTAAAATAGACATTTTGCCAATAGAACAAGACAATTTGCACTTAAAATAAGAAAGCACAATTGCATTGTCTTATTTCAAGTGCATAACATCTAATTATCTTATTTTACGAGTAAAAATACTCAATCTGTTGGCAAACTATCTCATTTATCTACTCAAGCTGAGGGTAAATACACTTAATTTAAGATATTTTGACTTATTTCTAGATCGTTTTTCTAGTGCTGGATGACCAGCTCTGCAGAGTTAATTTTCCCAAATGTTTTTTTAGACTTTAATGTGGCATCTTGGTTTCTAGGAGAAAATACGTCTATCTTACCTAGACATACATGAGATAACTTAGCTCCTTCATTGATGCTGTAGTCCTTTCAGCTTGCCTGGCTAATTTCTATTTCATCTTTTGGTCAATTTTAAAATCGGCTCCATTACAAGCAGCTTTGAAACTTCTTTTATTTATTCCTGTCTTATGTTGACCTTAAAGGAGCAAAGTCCTGCTTTCGATGGCAGATTAACTACAATCAAAGGTCGGTTGAAATAAAAAATAACGTGCAAAGTTATGGAAAGCACCTCTGCTTTTTAAGTTTTTAATTTTACTAGTTGGTTTGTGTTGAGATTTACTGTACAGGAAATACAATATATCACCATGAAGGTGGATGAAGTTTCGAAATAAATCAACCAGGACTTTTTCTTCCTGTCACATAAAAAAACAGGTTTTAAAGTTGTTTACATATTTCATATCCAATGTAGATGTAAATAAAACCTGTACATACCTTAATATTACAATACTAATAAATGAAGCATTTTCTGTAAAACTGTTTGTATCTTAGAAAATGAAAAAAATAAAAATCTGAATTTCACCGCAAGCTTCAGTCCTTTGATCAGCCTTCTTATCGCAGTTTCTCTGCTAAGAGAAGGAAGCAGCTCTAGCCTCAAAGTTTATGTTGGCAGGAAAACATCTGACATTTTTTTGTGCTGGGGAGCGAGAGACAGAAACCCCTGATGAAGAGTCCCATCGTTTTAGGTTAGAGCACTTTACAAAATGCAGACTAGTGGAGTCAAGTTGGTAGACCCTTTTTGAGCAGAGAAGAGAGGTAGCTTCCTAGATCTTCATCCTGATTAGAAATAAAGAGAGAAAACAACAATGTTAAAGATCAAATCAAAAACTTAAGAGTTATTTCAATGTTCTAGACATTATGATCCATTAAAAGTAAGATTACAGACGTTTGTCTCAATTTTTTTTTTTACCTCCACCAAGGAGGTTATGCATTTAAGAGAGTTCAGTAGTTATTGTAGAAGACATCCAAACAATGGAACGACTTACCGGTACATATAAATTGAAAATGAAAGAAGAGGCTTTTGTAAAGGACTGGGAAAAATGGTTATTATATACAACAAAAAGAGCTTATTGCTAATTTTGATCTCTTTAATATTTTTTATTAATCTACTCCCTACAGGCTTTGTTGCTGTTCATGTTTTTCTTCATTTATATTTCTTCTATGTAAACATATTTTTTTATTGTTTGGTACAGTTTTGTTTGCACTTGTTTGTTAAGTTCTGTTATCAAATTGCAAATGTGACAGAAGAATGAAAAGAAAAAAAAAAGATGGGAGAAAAATGTCAATTTGCCCTCCCCCCACATAATAAAAAAAAAAGGGGGGACTAGAAAACTTGATATTTGTAAAGAGTGCAATTCATATGTTTATAACTAAATAAAAAAGATATATAAAAAAAAAAGAGAGTTCAGTAGTTATTTGGTTTCTGTACCAATTAAAATCTGTTCTAATTGGCTATAAGCCTCAATTAATGGGGCTGAGGGTTGCAAATGGAGAATAAATACATTATTCCACAGCAAATTAAAAGGCCTTTTTTAACTCAAAAATGAGACTAACATACAAACACAAAAACACCTGAAAAGAAATAGTGCAGCAAATGGAATAAATTGCATCCCAGCAAATAGAGAGCAGGACAGTGGGAATTCCGTAAAAGTAAAAAAAAAAAATCCACTGGACTTGGTTTCCAAGATTTTTTTATATATTTTTTTTAACTTTTACAGAATGATCATGACCTGGATGACTGAGAATCTTCATCAGCATAAAGTGGGAATGCTCAACAACAAACAAACAAAATATGCTAAAACAAAAAGACACAAAACACATGCAGAGGTAAATAGTGCTGGTAGCAACAACTACACATTAAGGACTAGCCCCGCATAATGTTAGTGCTCCAAACCACAATGGGGAGCCGATCATCAACTCATATGGGACCAGAACCCTAGTGAAGGTAGTAAGGATGCTAAGTTTTTACATAACTCAGCAGAAAGCACAATTTCATCCCTCCAGATGTTCTCTAGGCCAGGCATCCCCAACCTCTGTCCTCGAGGCCCGCTGTCCTGCAGGTTTTAGAGGTTTCCTTGCTTCAGCTGATTTTTGCACAGCTGATTTTAATTGAAAGCTAATTAACAGGCTTTTGGTCTACTGCAATCATTATAATCAGCTGCGTTAAAGCAGGGAAACCTCTAAAACCTGCAGGACAGTGGTCTTTGAGGACCGACTTTGGGGATGCCTGCTCTAGGCTTTATCCCATTTATATTGTATAGTTATTAATTGATCCATCCATCCATCCATCCATCCATCCATCCATCCATCCATCCATCCATCCATCCATCCATCCATCCATGGCCAGACTTTCCGATCCACGCACACCTCCTCCAGCTGCTCTGGGGGGACCCCGAAGCAACACCAGGCCAGCTCAGAGAAATAGTCCCTCCAGCGTGCCTTCCAAGAGGCCTCCTCCCAATAGGACGTGCCTGTAACACTTCCTGAGGGAGGCGGCCAGGAGGCATCTGGAACAGCTGGCTCCTTTCAACATGGAGGAGCAACGACTCTACTTTGAGCTCCTCCCGGGTAACTGAGCTCCTGACCCGATCTCGAAGGGTGTGCCCAGCCACGCTGCGAAGGAAACTCATTTGTGTTTGTGATCTTGTCCTTTAGGTCATTATCCAGACCTAAATACCATAGGTGAGGGTGGGAACGTAGATAGATCGGTGAATCGAGAGCTTTGCCCCCTGACTCAGCTCCCTCTTCACCACCACAGTCCTAAACAGTGACCGCATCACTGCAGACGCTTCACCGATCCGTATATCGATCTTGTGCTCCATCCTTCCCACACTCGTGAACAAGACCCAAAATACTTGAACAATCCTCCATTTGAGTAAAGTAATTATTATGTTCTGATCTCATATCGGTTGATAATCATGGGCTCCCAGTGATCTGGAGCACCTCTATCAATTCATTCTAATTTGCAGCTTTCTTTTAACTTAAAGTTGTTTTTACCGCTTGCAGTATTTTTCCTTTTTCATGTGTTTTGTGTCGTCGTTTGTTCGCAGCATTCTTGTTTTTTCAGCAGGTGTTGTGTTTGTTTTCCACTTCCTGCTCTCTATATGCTGTGATTGCATTGTTTTTTCTTTGCATGTGTTTCTAACTTTTGTGTTTGCTAGCCTATTTTGATGTATTTACATGGCATTTTCACCTCTAGGCCACTGTACTCACTTATCTAAGTTTATAGAAATAAACTATTTTTCAACATAATGATGAGCTTCAGGTTACAACTGAACTTATTACTGAATTAAAACAAGTTTTAATTCAAAATATTTATTCAAAAGCAAAAAAGAGATGAAATATGAACAGAACTTTTCTTTTTAAACTAATGGAATAGTTTTCAGGGTCAAACACCTACCTACAGTACGGTAGAAAAAAAACACCAGGCTCTATTTTTGTTTTTACTTGCCCATTGCGTTGAGAGTGGAACACGGGAGACCACGGAAACTCCACCTTCTGGTTTCATTGCTTATTTTTTGTCACTCAAAGCCCCCTCTCTCATTCTGTCCACCCACTCGACTACTTTCACCGCTTTCAACAGTTAAACCCCTCACACCAGAACCACGTTTACACATTACACAGGTCTCTCTCTCTCGCTCTCTCTCATGCACTTATCCTAAACCTGCAAATGGTAAATATTAAACTCTGTACCTTTATAAATTTTCTGATATTCCTCGAGATTAATTGATTTGAAACTGTTTTTTTTATGTTATTAAACCGTTCATAGCTTTGGAAAAATCTCAGCCTCACTTGTAGCAGCAACACTATTTTAATAGAAAAAAAACAACCTTTTACTGCCCTGAGCTACATGGCTCTTAATTTTGATTAGTGAGTAATAGGGCTGAAACAATTAATAGGATTAATCCTGATTGATTATTGGAATAATCGTCAACTAATTTAGTAATTGATAAATCATTAACTGGAATGTAGAGGCTCAAAGATAAACAAAAAACAGAATTTTTCAGATGCATCAGGATTATGGAGATATAATATCTTTGTTTTAATGTTTTATAAAAGCATCAGAAGAATTCTTCTTTCAAGGGGGGCACTGACATTTCTAAACACCATCCTTAATAGTGAAACAGTACATTTCACTTTATTGTTTTTTGAAATAACAATGAATTATCTCTTGGAAAAAGAAAGAAATCTAACAGAAGAAAAGGGTTTATGAGATTTAATCCTTTTATAGTTATATGGACATTGGCTTTTCTTTTATTTCGATAAAACAAAAATAACTCAAACTTCCTTTTAAAGAACCCCGTTTGGATCCGTCTCCACTGCGCTGTTTTCTCTACCTAAATCTGTATTCCTTCTCGCCTGTATTAAAGTACCACCTGTTGAGCAGCAGACATGAACACTGAATGATGCTGCTGTACCTGATAACTCCAGGAAAGCAGCAGGACCTTGGAGTTTGCGTCTTCGGCTGAGGAGGAGACTTTGATGACGATGGATTCCACCATCACTGTGCCATCAGGCAGGTGCTGGATGGTGTAATCTTTTAGCAAACTGCAACCCAAAAAGAAACAAAGGAAATGGACAGGTCAGAAGAGAGGCAAAAATCAGGACAAGCATTCAGGATGAGATTTAAATGCAAATGAAGTAGGAGGAGGCCCGGTGAGGATTGCTCTTACCTCTTGAGGTGTGTGTAGATTCTGTGCAGCGTGTCGGAGTCGCTGTGGGGGTCTTGGAGCTGCACGCGGCAGGTGAAGCGTAACTGATGCTCGTTTAGACCCAGCTCCTTCAGGGCCTGCTCTGACGACACCAGCTTCAAGCTCTGCAGTATATATAAAAAAAAAAGACCAAAAATTAAACAAACCAAAAAAGCAAACTAACCACAGATGGCATCAGAGGTTTAATAGGTACGGCAAGCTAACAGCCATTTAATCCAGGTGAATGCCATTTGCTATTTTTTTCCATGTTTTTCCACAGATGTAAAGCAGCTGAACGCTGAAGGCTGTAGCTTTTTAAATGTAAACTCAGCTGAAATTGCAAAGATATAAATTTCCAGATTTCTATAATTATAAAACGTCTAGAGGACTGGTTGTGAATTAACATGTTCTAAAAATAATAAAATAGATAAATAAAAATTATCAAAGCAAAACTGAAACTCTGTTAGAAAATCTTAGAGCTACACTACTTTGTAAACGGAAACAGGGTTAAAACAAAATTCTCATTATGAGGTTTACTGCTAATACACTTAATTTAAAAATGATATATAAAAATAAAAAAAAGTTTTTCTTCTTTTACCTACACATTAAAATAAATCTACTGAAGCTGCTACCTCTGCGACCCGACCCCGAATAAGCGGAAGAAGATGGATGGATGGATTAAAATCAATCTTCAAACACGAGTTTTAATTTTACAAATGCAATATATTTTATACAAAAAAAAGCTCCTATAAATTAATTTAACAAATTCAATGCCAGATTACATTTTCTCTGTCTTAAAATAATAAACCAGGATCTTATCTTTATTCTCTTTTCTTTGTCACTCAGAACTAGAGGCTTCATTTGCTATTTAAGCATCCATCTACGGAAGAGGATTAGGGCCACTGAAAAAAAAAAAAAATAAAAGTTAACTGATTTTTTAATTTTATTTCAGTTTAGTATGGGAAAAAAGTCAGAATTCTGACTTTAATCTCAGAATTCAGACTTTTCTCATAATTCTGACTTTAATCTCAGAATTTTGGATTTTAATGTAGATGGGCACCATAAAGGAAGAGATGTAGGAGCACTCAGCTTCACTGACAAAGATGTGAGTTGTTTGGGAGGGCCAGTGACACATTGGTGGAAAATGACGGAATTAGGCAACTTTTTACGTGTCCGAGGGGTCCCCTCATTAATGGAGGAGCAGAAGGTCATTAAAATAAGAGCTAGTCTCTAAAACAGACATGGCTATCGCTTGATGCTAACATGTTGTTATCTGTCAGAATTCTGAGAAAAAATTCAGAATTCTGAGATTAAAGTCAGAATTTTGAGAAAAAAGTCAGAATTCTGACTTTTTTTTCCCCATACTAAACTGAAATAAAATTTAAAAATCAGTTAACTTTTTTTCCCCAGTGGCCCTAATCCTTTACCGTAATCCATCACTGTCACTGGTGTGGTTGACAAATAAAAAGGAAAGTAAACAAACACTTAGGAGCAAAAGAAAATTCTATTTCTAACGGGCACAGGATTTATTTACTGTTAGTTTACAAACTTGTTTTACTTTTATCCCTTTTTTAAATCCTTTCATTTGTATTTTTATTAAGGCATTCCTGATAAAACTGTGTTTTCTAAACTTTGAAAACTTACATTTTCTTTCATAATCAGCGTTCCATGCATGGCGCGGGGTTTTTTGGGATCAGGCAGAGGACCTTTAACAAACAGAAATGAAACAAAACATTTTTACAAACTCGTTGAAAAAGAAAAAAAATAGAAGTCAGCTTTTTCCTTTATTTTATTTATCTATTAGGAGTATGCTTTGTCAAACATGTAGACACTTGCTGAACTCTAATATTCTTAAGTATGTTAATTGTTCCCCCCCCCATGGTGGAACATTACGGAATATAGAGGCTAATCTTTTCTCTCTCTTGCTCTTCTTTCGGGGTAGAATGTGACCCTCTTCATTACATAAGCAGCAGAGGTTTAGGAATAAAATGGGAGCATCTTAAGGCTGATGAAGAGAACACGGGTCTCTAACCCTGAGGCGCAGAATAATGAAGCATCCGCCTGATGCAACAGAGAATCATGAGGTATCAGGAGGACACTGGGATCACCAGAACCAACAGCTGAACGATCTGTTGCAATTTCTCTGATCTGACTTGGAATAAGTCCAGTTAAACTTTGAGCCTGGTTTTCTTTCTCTTTATAAGTAGCAGGTTTTAATAGTAGTTAAACTTAGCAATTGCTTCCATGAAAAGGAGATAAAAAGGACTCTAAGGCGCAGCTACCTACATTACCTATTCTTCCAATAATATACATAAAAGGAATGGCTTCTAATTACTTTAATTACGGATGAGACCGTGATAAAAACTGAAAAATGTTAAATAACATACATTTTAATAGTAGCTAAACACTGAGTAAAAATTGCCAAGGAGGTAAAAAAAAGAAAAAAAGAAACAGAAAAATACTCAGAAAAAAAAATAAATGTACCAAAACTGCAGAGTTTTATGTTATGCAAGTAAATACTAGGGGTAGCGTGTCCTGCAATTTAATGACTGGATGCAATCAGCTGGTTTTCCTTAGATAGAAAACTTTTAACAGATCTGACTGGATGATCTGGATGTTGTTTTTTCTTTAAAGTGCCTTGAGATGAAATGTGTTGCAAAGTGAAGGATTGTGGGACATTTCCCGTCCAAGGGCTCTGGAGAAACTTGTAAAGCATGTTGCTTTCATGTTTTGAGACACTACATTTCTAATCTAAATCTGGTGGGCTGTTTCAGAAAACAGGCTGTAATTATTTCAGCAGAGATATTAGCCAAGACAAAACAGCAGAGGTGGATAATCCAGGTCCAGAAAGTAAAAACCCTGCCATGTTTTCCACCATCCTTCTCATTTAACCAGGTGATTAGCTCCTCAGGTGATCAGTCAGTGTGTGGAGCTGGAAATGCAGATGGTTGGAAGTGATCTCTCTGCAGCCTTTTTACTTTCTGAACCTGGATTATCCACCTCTGCAGAACTGCATCAAAGGCCTTCTTTCATTACAAGCAAAAATCAGTAGATCTAAAACTAAATCTCATATACTTTTGCATTTTTACATTTGCATCATGTTTACAATATCAGTAAATCCAAATGACCTTAATCATAATAATCTATTCCATTCGTGAAATGAGCTGTCTAGGATTTTCTTAGTTGATGTTATCATGCCAGCGGATCTGGGTCGATTTACTGTATGAGGGCAGGAAGAAGCGAAGCGTGAGCCAAAAGCCCGTTATCAATCAAAGTGAAACTGGGTGAAACACAGGCTGAACCAAAACCACCAGATAAACCTCACCTCCGAGAGCCATCTCCCTCTTGAGTAGGTTGAGTGACATATCCACAGGAACGCTGGGGTTAGTTATCACAGACGTCGTCTCCCCGTTGGCTGGCATGTAACAGTCTATACCTGCCGTTTAAAAGATGGTAACATTAACCAGACTGGAAATCACCTCTGCCTCCAAACGGCGGCGGAGAAATGCATATCTTAAGACAAAATAAATCCCTTCAGCGGCACTTACTGAACTCCTGTTCGATCTTGCCCTTTAGAAACTCCATTTTAGCAGCCTCGCCGTGCACGAGCAGCATGTTTCGAGGCTCCGCCATACGGATGAGCTGCATGATGCCCTTTGCGTCAGCGTGTGCACTGAAGGACATGTACTCCACCTGCATCTTCACGTCCAACTGCAAAGAAAAAAAACGATCAGTTCAATTTTTAACTGACTTATAGACGAGAAATGCACAAGAAAACAGTTTGAAAACAGTTCCAAACACTGGTTAATAATAATAAGACAAACGTTTTCAGTATTATGATTAAAAAAAACTCCTGCTTCTTAAAAGCAACATGTTTTTATGACTTTTCTTTGCTCAGGAAAAGGATCTAATGTTCCACTTAAGCATAAGAAGTATTTCCTGATGATTTACTAACAGACATTACAAACCTGATCAAATATTTCAGCTTCATCTTTCTAAAAGCAGTTTTAAATATTTCTGCCTCCATCTTTAAATTTGCATAAGAGTCATTAGAGGAATGAGGGATCTAATGACGTTTGTCCAACGTGTAAAGCTGGTTGGAATAAAAAAAGG